CTTATAATGCACATGTGATTTTTTTTTTGTATATTCTTCCCCTGTGATACAGCCCCTGTGTCACTGTATTTGATTCCCGTGTCCTGTATCTTGTATATACATTTTTCTAATTTGGGGAGGGGAAGGGAAATAACAAAATGCTGAAAAAAGAATACAGGATGACTCATTGTAACAATGAGATGTACAAGACACTATGTTGAAAATGAACTTCACAACTTTGCGGGGGTGGGGGTAGGGGGGCGGGGGAAGGTTGGGGAGGGATAAGTTGGGAAGTGAGGAGGAAAGGGATGGTATGGGACAAACAAAGGAGGAGGTAACAAAGCTCTATAGGAAATGGACTCATCACCTTGCTCATCTAACTGTAACCCCTCTGTACAGTATATTTACAATAAAAATATATTTAAAATTTTAAAAAAGAAAAAATAAAACATAAAAGAAAATTTAATTACACATTAAAAAGATTATACACCGGGATCAAGTTGGTTTCATTCTAGGGATGCAAGATGATTCAACATATATGAATCAATAAATCAATAAATGTAATGCAGTACCTACACAGGATCAGGGTCAAAAGTCTCATGATCACCTCAATAGATGTAGAAAAACCTTCAACAAAATTTAACATTTCTTGAAGATAAAAGCTTTAAAGATACTAGGACTAAAAGAATGTGCCTAAATTTAACGAAGGCTATATATGACTTATAGTATAAGACTTATATATAAGACTTATAGCCAAAATTGTACTGAGAAATCAGGTACAAAACAAATGCATTCACTCTTCCTACTATTTTTGTTTTCCAGTATTGGAGTCTTTATCAGGGCAATATACTTAGCAGTAAGCACCCTACCATTTGAGCTCTACTCCAGCCTTATTTTTCATTTCCTGTAGTTATTTTTTTAATAGGGTCTCATGCCTTTGTCCAGAGACATCCTTGGACTGAAAGCCACCTAAAATCTGTCTCACATGCAACTAAGGATTACAGATGTGTGCCACCCTATCTAACCATTATCTGTACTCACATTTACTGTACTGAGGCAAGAGAAAGAAAAGGGAATACAAATAAGAAAGAAGAAAAATTACCACTATTTGCAGATACAGTGTTACACTTAACGGATCCTAGATATGATACTAGAAAATTTTTAGATCTGATAATATTTTCAGCAAAGTAGCAGGATATAAAATCAACATAAAACCCAGTGGCTTTTCTATAAACCAATGATGAACATACTGAAAAGGTAAACCAAAAATATTATCATATATATAGTAGCCTCAAAAACATACCTAGGCATAAACTTTAGGAAATATATAAATGATTTCTACAATTAAAAACTATAGCCACTGTGGAAAGAAACTAGAAGAAAATGGAATATGGAAAAATAACTGTCATGGTCATGGAGGGCAGAATTAATAATGTGAAAGCAATGATACCGAAGTCCATAGGCAAATTCTATGTAATTCTTATTGAAATTCCAATTATGTCCTAGGGCTGGGAAGGTGGCTCAGTGTTTAGAGTGCTTGCCTTGCATGCATGAGGCCCTGGGTTCAATTCCTCAGCCAGAAGTGGGGCTATGTCTCAAGTGGTAGAACACTAGCCTTGAGGTGAAGAAGTGAGGGACAGTGCCCAGGCCCAGAGTTCAGGCCCCATGACCAGCCAAAAAACAAAAACAAAAACAAAAACAACTCCCCAAAACAAAAAAAAACAAACAAACTTCCAATTATGTCCTAAAAATCATAAACACAAAATCACCAAAGCTGTCATAAACAAGAAGATTAACTTCACCTCTATTATAATACCTGATTTCAAATTATGCTACAGAGCCATTATAAAAAAAAAACAACTTGGTCCTGGTACAAAAACAGAAACCTAGATCAATGGAATTTAGGTAGAACTAGAAATAAATCCACATAGCTATAGCCATTTGATTCTTGGCAAAGGCACCAATACACACATTGGTAAAAGATAAGCTTTTCAACAAGTAGTGCTGGGAAATCTATGTATCTATAATAGACTAAAATCTCATCCTTACTTTTCATCTTGTACAAAAATGAACCCAGAATAGATCAAAGACCTTAATGTAAGACTGGAATTTGAAACGAGAAAAAGAAAACACTTGAAGATACAGACATAGGCAATGACTTTCTGAATTGGACTTCAATAGCTCAGAAAAAAGATAGCAACAATTGATAAAATGGAATTGCAACAAATTTAGAACATTCAGCTTTCAATGCCTATGTGCATCTCTTTGTTTCTGTTTTGTTTTCTCTTCTGTCTTATTTGTTCACTCATCTGTCTTTGGGATGGTAAGAAGGACAGAGAAATGGAGAGACAAAGGGTGAACAAATACATCAGTAGTACTCACTAGACACTATGCTGAAAATGAACTACACAACTTGTAGGTAAGATGGGAGAGAAAAATTGGGAGAGAGCGAGGGGAGGGGTGACTTTGTCCAAAAAGAAATGTACTCTTTACCTGACTTATGTAATTGTACTCCTCTGTAATCACCTTTGTAATAACAACAATAAGGCATAAAAAACCCTTCTGCGTATCAAAGGAAACAATTACCAGAGTGAAGAAGGAGCTTATAGAAATGGAAAAAAAAATCTTTACCAAAAATTCACCTGACAAAAGATTCATATCTAGAATATAAAAACAAGTAAAACATAAACACCCAAAGAACAACAAATCCAATTATTACATGGACAAATGAAATGGACACAATCTCAAGGGAAGAAGTACAATTTGCCAATAAATATGTGAAGACATGTTCTTCATCCTCAGTCCTAAGGAACTGCAAATAAAAACTTAATGGAAATTATACCTCACGTCAGCCAGAGTGAGCATTCATTATCAAGAAAATAAAGAACAGGGAGCTGGGGAGGTGGCTCAGTGGTAGAGTGCTTGCCGTGCATGCCTGAGGCCCTGGGTTCGATTCCTCAGCACCACATAAGCAAAAAGAAAAAGGCCAGAAGTGGCGCTGTGGCTCAAGTGGTAGGGCGCTAGCCTTGAGCTGAAGAGCTGAGGGACAGCGCCCAGGCCCAGAGTTCAGGCCCCATGACCGGACCACCCCCCCCCAAAAAAAAGAAAATAAAGAACAACAAATGCTAACAAGAATGTGGGGGAAAGAAAGCCTCATCATATGCTATTGATGAAGTGTAAACTAGTGAAGCCACTATGAAAAGCAATATAGAGGTTCCTGTGCCAGACTGCATTCTTATTTGGTCCATGTTTGCTTACAATGCTGTGAAATGAGCTTTTTTATTCTCTATTTGCCACTGAAACTTTTAGTTGCATACTTGCTAAAGTGAACTAAAAGTCACAGTCATTTTTTTGCAGTTTCTGGCTGTTTCTAAATGCTGTCCATGTGATTGTTCACTATTTTATTAGACTGTCAATGCTTTTGGAGATTTTGTGCACATTTTTTAGTTGTCTTCAGTCTGATGGGAAAATTGCCCAGTTTGTCATTACTGAAAGCTGATGTATCTAAATTTCACTAATCCCTTATCTTAAAACACAAATTTAACTTATCCCTTATCTTAAAACGCATAAATTCATTTGATCAGTAAAGACACAAATCTTTAGATCAGTGAAGATTGTAGAGAGTTCTTGATCTTATTATAAATGTTACCTAAATATTTTACAGAAACTAATTTGAATAGAAATTATTTAATAGGACATAAAGCAAACTCAACTGGAAGAAAACACAAAGAGGATTGTAAAAGCCCTCAATAGGATTTAGATAAAATTCTTCATTTTAATATTAGCACTGTTCAAATGTTTTAAAATATATGCTTTGTATGTCCCTCCCCCACAGTGTAACCCCCGCTTTCACTATATTTGATGTCAGTATAACATGTGGAGGAGACGGGGACAAACAAGTCGTTTAAAGATTCAGGTGGACCTGTTGCAACAATGAGAAGTACAAAATGTCATGTCAAAACCAGCTTTACAATGTCGGTGGGGGGGGGGGGAGGGGAGGTATGATTGGGTGGGGGGGAGGGGGGAGGCTGGGAAGGGAGGTGAAGGGTAAACAAAGGAGGAGGCTGCAATGCTTGGTAAGAAATGTATGCATTATCCTGCCCATGTAATTGTAACCCCTCTGTACAGTATATTCTCAAATAAAATAAAATAAAATTAAAAAAATATATTAAATATAAGCAATTTCATGACGATTTATTTCCCTTAAATTCTCTCAATTCTTAAAGGAGCCAGTAACTTCACTTCTTGTGTAATCAGAATTCAAGAATATAATTTAGAGCATATGATAAATAGTGGCTTGTAGATTTAATAGCACCAGAAATTTAAAGCATATGTACTTCATGAAGATTCAGATTGCATTATTAATTTTTCCATGTAACAGTTTGTGAAATTACAATAAAAATATGAAGGTTTATATTCTGGGATTGATGCAGCTTTTCTAAGATCTAAATGTTATCATTTAAAAATTTATACTTCATACAAAATGTCATGTCAAAACCAGCTTTACAATGTCGGTGGGGGGGGGAGGGGGGGTATGATTGGGTGGGGGGGAGGGGGGAGCCTGGGAAGGGAGGTGAAGGGTAAACAAAGGAGGAGGCTGCAATGCTTGGTAAGAAATGTATGCATTTTCCTGCCCATGTAATTGTAACCCCTCTGTACAGTATGTTCTCAATTAAAATAAAATAAAATTAAAAAAAAATTTATACTTCAATTTATAGCTTTTTGGTTGTTAGAGTGTTCTAAATATCACAATGGATTTGTATCTGTGTTGCAGAATCTGTTGGCATACTAAAGCAAAAATTACCAGAGTAAATGGAAACTTTATATCATTATATTCATATGAATTATATTTGTTTCATTATTGTTAACCTAAATATCAGATAAATAGGTTAAGAATAATTGTTTTACACATTCCCGAGTACACGCAATTTTACCAGTCGACGTCTGTGCGTTGTTCACAGTACATAATCCGAAGGTATTGAGCATAGCCGCTGCAATTCTAATGGCCCAAGTGTATTTACCTATTGAAATTGCCCAAACGATAGCAATCTTCATGATGGCCTTAGTCCGCGAATTGAAACGGCTATGCTCAATAGGATTACGTATTGCTACATACCGATCCAGCGATATAGCGCAGAGGTGCATGATAGACGCCGTAGAAAACAGGACGTCTAAAGAAATCCAGACGGGGCACAAATATCTAGGTAATGGCCAGACATAATCTGAAAGAGAGCAGAGGGAAGACAAAAACACATTATTCAAATTGTACTGCCTAAAGTTAAATTTTAGTCTGCTTATTTTCTTCTTTATCTAAAGCTTTCAAATAAAGTGAAATTTTAAAATTACTTTTCATACTGATGATGATGGTGATGATAATGATGATGATAACAGTGACAACAACAATGACTTCAGTGATATTTTTATTGAATTAAACTTTATATACCATGAAAGTAATAAAGTGTAAAATTCCATTGCAGTTAAAAATTCACAATATCGTACAAACATCGTCTCTCTCAATTCTGAAATATTTAATCACTTGTTCGAGAAACCAGTATCCATTAGTTAGTCATCTCTCCTATTTCTTCCTTGCTTAAACCCTGGGCAATCTCCAATCTGCTTTCTGTCTTTACTTAATTTAGGAATTTCACATAGTTGGAATTTATAAACATTTTATCTTGTTACTTTCACCTCACAATGTTTTCAAGGTTTATTTATTTTGCAGCAGTATCAGTATTAATTGTTTTTAATGGTTGATATTGTGTTCAGTTGGGATTTTGGATTCTTTTTTAAGGGCTTCTTAGTGGTGCTATGTATAGATGCATATTAGTTTTATATACTACATGTTTACTGAAATGCTTTATTATGTCTACTTTTGTGTGCATGGAGTCTGGGATTTTGCACATACAAAATCATGTCATCTGTGGATAAAGGTAATTTTTATTTAATTTTTTCACCTTCCTTTTGACTTGTTCTTTTCTTGCTTAATTGCTCAAGATACATTTTTCAGTACAATGCTGAATGAAAATAGTGAATGTAGACATCTTTTCTTTTTTCCTTACCTTATACAAAAATATTTAGTTGTTTTTATATTGGATTTTTCATAAATACATTTAATCATTGTTGACAAAGTTCACTTTATTCCTACTGTGTTAAGCACCACTAATATTTTTAAATGCATAAAATGTGTTTTAATATTTCAATTATTTTGTTTAAAAGCACTAAAAAGTCTCAGCCAATTCTTTTTAAAAATTTTTTATTTTTGTATATTTTCAGCCAATTCTTTTTTTTTTTTTTTTGTCGGTCATGGGGCTTGAACTCTGGGCCTGGGCACTGTCCCTCAACTCTTCAGCTCAAGGCGAGCGCTCTACCACTTGAGCTACAGTGCCACTTCCAGTTTTCTGGTGGTTTATTGGAGATAGGAGTCTCAGGGCCTCTCTTGCCCCGGCTGGCTTTGAACCGCGATCCTCAGATCTCAGCCTCCTGAGTAGCTAGGATTACAGGCGTGAGCCACCAGCGCCTGGCATAACACAAGTTTTAAATGCATTTACTTGTGATACCATACATGTATGAAAAGATAACATCAATCATACACAGATTGTTTGAAGAAAGGAATTACTTCTCAACATATTTCACGAGCAATCCTGTCCTTGAAAATAAATCTGAAATTTGCACTCTTATACAGATAAAGGAGGAAATTACGGAATGAAGTAAAAAAGTGAACAAACATTTTTTTTTTTTTTTTTTTTTTTTTTTTTTTTTTTGGGTCCAGACATGGGGCCTGAACTCTGGGCCTGGGCGCTGTCCCTCAGGTCTTCAGCTCAAGGCTAGCGCTCTACCACTTGAGTCACAGCGCCACTCTGGCTTTTTTCTTTTTGCTTATGTGGTGCTGAGGAATCAAACTCAGGGCCTCATGCATGCAAGGCAAACGCTCTACCACTGAGCCATCTTCCCAGCCCCAGTGAACAAACATTTTATATGATAAAATAATATCTACAATCTAGAACAACATGTTAACTTTCTTAATTCTCTAAAGAATATCTAGATATTTTATAGCATATAACATAAATAATGGTTAACTTTTGAAGGATTTCCTTTGCATGTGGAAAGACAAGAATGCTCACTAAAATGACATCCATTAGTGTACTATGAAAAGTAAAAGGAATAAAAACTTAGGGATTTAAAAAATACAAACAAAAATCCCCCACCAATGTGAACATAGAATAGTGCAACAACTTTACAGATAAATCTTAAGTACTAGTAGATAACTTTAGAAAGGTTGTTGGATATAAAGGCGGCAATTAGGAGGATTAAAGCCAGCTTAGGCAAAGAGTTAGTGGAACTTCGTTTCAACAAAATAAGCTGAATGTGATGCTGCTTTGTTGGCATTACTAACAGAACTGTTTTCCTGTGAACCCCTTCTCTTACAGAGTGGTGATTCTTGTGTAAGAATACATCAATCTACTATGAAAATTAGAGAAACATAATGGGAAGTTATTAGTAAATATATTCTGTTTAAATGTCTTATTTTTTAGTGTAATTTTTTTTGTCAATCATGGGGCCGGGCGATGTCCCTCAGCTCTTCAGCTCAAGTCTAGTGCTCTATCACTTGAGTCACAGTGCCACTTCCATCTTTTTCTGCTTATGTAGTGCTGAGGAATCAAACCCAGGGCCTTGTGTATGCAAGACAAGCACACTACCACTGATACCTTCCCAGCCCTAAATTGTACTCTTTCTATAGAATCAGAAGTAGAAGGCCTATGTAATTAGCTGAGGGTTGCTCCCATTTTCTGGACACCAGACTCTACACTGCTTATTCTCATTACCTAGCCTTGTACAGGATTCATTGCTGATTGGATAGTGCATCAAACATTATCCCTATCTGCTAAATATTGGGGTGTATGAAACTAGCTTTCTTTCTTGAAATTACATATGTCCTTCTTGTTTCTTGCCTGATATTAGATTGTGTTTCTACTCAATTTAGGATTTTTGTATCCTCTCTGGACTATTCCCAAATACCGCACTTCTGATTTGCATATTCATTTTTGGCATTTGTGTCTTTTCATTTATAAACTTTTCTTTTATCTATAAATAAGAATGAGATTGTCTCCCCTTGTAGATACTTTGCTGCTGTCATCCTAAATAAATATATCCAACTCCCAAGTGCCATGACCTTGGTGCAGTTCTGATAGTAGGGGCATTATATATATGATTAGATTAATTTCTGGCAAGTCGCTTGGCTCTTCTGATGGCTAATATGGCTCAATGCAGATGTACTTACCTGAATTTAGAGACCTATACACAACTTCCTCTTACAAACTACAGTCATATGCTTAGTCTATCGTTTCTACTACACATTTCTCAGAGTGCCTTCCTAGTGATGTAACTCAGCATTTCTCTTTTCTTTACGTGTAGATTCAATAGCTCTTCAGTGATGCTGAGTGGTAGTCCTGGTTTCTGACCTGATGAAGTGGGCCAGGTGATGGGACATCCTACATATGCAACCAGCCAGCCCCCTCTTAGTATGGAATAGGGTTTTCCTGGCAGCACTATGCAGGATGTTCAACCTCCCAGCCCATGTGAAGGTCAACTGCTCCACCATGAAAGTTCCAGCAGCTGTTGGAAGATGTTATTAATAGAAGCTTTTCTGTATGATTGACATCATATAGGCTCCTTCTGGTCATGTATTTTGTTCCTGATGAACTGGCTGTGATTATTAATAGTCCAAATGATCTAGAAATCTGATAACTAATAATTCATTTAATCCTCAAATTTAACCCCCAAATCTCAAAACTATAATTTCATACATACATACATATATATCTACATACATAAATACATACATAAAAGGAGAAGTCTTTTGATAATTCTAGGATATTTCATGGGTTACACACTCCAACTCTCCTTCCATTTTAGGCTTGCCCTTCTGAATAATGCACATGGATGTTTTATACACTACATCCTATAGCTTGAAGAAAGTCCATAGATGTGACACACATAATTTTTCCCCAGATCTATCCCAGTTGAAACAAACTATCCCATAAGAATTACAGCTCAAATGGCCTAGAGGCATTGCCCTGAGACATGAGGCCTTGGGGCTAGTGTAGCTACCAAATCCTGAAACAGAGATTTATCTAGGGAAATATTCTATTACATATTTTTTTAAGCTGGAAATTCCATCTAAGTTATTTTTTCATCTCAAGTCTTAGAAGCCTGAGAATTTTACCTGTAAAACTAAGTGATACCACATTTCTAACTGGATTGAACATCTGGAAGATTCTATATGACTTACAAATATTTTTAGAAAAGTACCCTAGATTTATCCTCCTGAGATAGTTCTAAAGCTTCATAGATTTCCTTATGATTTCTGATTCAGTGGCTTCTTTTCCAGTTGACTTCAAGCATTTCTCTATGGGTACATGGTAAAGATTTCCATTCCTATTTATATTTTCTTCAGAGTCTATTGGCAGACTTAAGAATAAGTTATATGGATCATAAGTTGTGAGAAAGGAATGAGAACCATGAAGAAATCATGAATTCGGGAGTCTGGAGGAAGATGACAGAGGAAAAGATGGAGGCTAAAAAAGCTCTTGCATAGAAAGCAGTTTCAGTGCTCTAGTGAACAGTCCTAGGCTAGGAATCACACCAAGTGTGCTATCACAGTACAGAGAGTTTTGCCAGAGAAGGAAAATCCAGGCAGCTTGGTCAATGAGACAGATCTGAGCACTTGGTAGTGTCTGGTGTTCATGGCAGCAGCAGCGGCAGCAGCAGCTGATGCCATACCTGCCATATCATCAGAAAGAGCCCTGGACAAAGGCACCAGATGCAGTGTGTGAGCAGATTCTACTCACCACCAGCAAGAACTGACAAGGAGCAGAAATCTTCATCCTGCTGATCTCAGAAACTAAGAGACTTGTGTGAGTACACTCAAGACATTCTCACCCCTTCTCACAGAACAGTGGTGGGAAGGTAGCCCTTCCCCCACCACCGGAGAAGAACTCCACCTTTGATACTGACAAAGGCTGGGGCTGATCAGCTAGCTCCAACTCAGGCCTTGGAAGAAATCAATAGGAGCCATTCAGCAGGTCACAGGAACCTGACCTGACCTGCTGGGCTCAGTTCTACCTGGGGAAAGTCACCACACCCAGGCAGAGAAGCTCTGCCCCCGGAGGAGTGACTTTCTTCACTGGGTAAACAGAGGCAGAGGCTGCTCCTCCCCACTACA